TATATGCTTAATTTTAGAAGCAGTACATTATCTTTTAATCCAAACAATATAGAAGTATATAAAGTAAAATTTAACAGGCCCATCCCTTCCCTAAATCATGCTGTGGAAAGAAAACCATTGTTAATGGCTTGACTATAGTTTTGTAGACTTTTTTTCTAACATAGACATTCTGTTTGCTTGATTCTTAGAGATTTGCTGGTCGTAGAGCTGAGGAATGATGGCTTATTCCCATAAAACCAATTTTTATTTTCATGCAAGGGGTGGTTTAATAAAAGCTAAATCATACCATTCATTCTTTGCAAGTTTTTGTCATCCCCCCCCCCCCCCCTTTTTTTTTTTTTTTTGTTTGGTTGGGGTTTTTTTTTTTTTTTTTTGAGACAGAATCAGTTTGTAGTCTAGGCTGGCCTAAAATTCATTATATAGCCCAGGCTGGACATGTCTGATCCTCTTGTCTCGGCCTCCAAGTGCTTCATGGAAGTTACAGGTGTTTACACCACACCTGGCTTCAGCTTGGTTCTTTTTATTTAACAGTAGATTTGGGGTACCATTCTTTATTGGTACTTAGAGATTTACCTTATTATTTTTAGTGTGTATGTGTCTCATTTAATATTTTCCCTATTTCTAGACTTTTGGTAAACTTAAGCAGATTCTGACTCTTGCTCTAGATGATAAAAATTTTTACTATCACAAATGACATTGTAACAAATATTTCTATATATTTCCTTTTGCATTGATGTTGAATAGGTTTTTTTTTCTTCTTTCTTTTTTTTTTTTTGTCTTTTTGAGACATGGTCTCACTGTAGCCCCAGCTGTCCTGGAACTCACTATGTAGATCAGGCTGGCCTCGAACTCACAAAGATCCGCCTGTCTCTGCCTCCCAAGTGCTAAGATTAAAGGTGTGTGCCACCACACTCAGCTTATTTTGGTCTTTTTGAGACAGGGTCTTCCTGTAGCTCCAGCTGGCCTGGAACTTGCTATGTAGACCAGGCTGGCCTTGAACTCACAGAGATCTGCCTGCCTCTGCCTACTGAATGTTGGGACTAATGGCTTATACCACTATGCCCAGCTAAAATTGATTAGCATTATTAACTTTGAATGCCCCCTAAAAAGTCTGTTATTTCATTGCTCAGGGGCCTTAATTTGATATTCATGGTTAAGGGTCTAGGAAATGTATTTTTCTCAAAAGACAGTCCATTGCTTTTAGCAGATTTGATAGGGATGCAGTTAAGAGAAAAATTTGAGACATCTAAAGCATTAATAATGTCTTATTTCCTAACTGGTTTATTCCCTGCCTAATCTACCCATGTCTGTGTCTGTGTACCTGGGCAATTCTTTCTTTTCTTTTGGGCAGGAATGAAAGAGTTTTGGAGGCAATGACAGAGAGAGCTGAAATGGATGAGGTGGAACGTTTCCAGCCACTACTGGATGGATTAAAAAGTGGCACCTCTATTGCACTCAAGGCATGTGTCTACCCTTAAACCTGGGCTAAGAATAGAATTCAAAATAGGAAGATCTGCGTTGATTTGTCTTTTCATTTTTTGTGGTATAGGAGATTGAACCTAAGCCTCCTGCCCTTGAGCTTCTCCCTAGCTCTTTTTAGTTTTTATTTTGAGAGAGGGTCTTGCTAAGTTGTTCAGGCTAGCCTGACTCCTGAATTATTGGGATGTAGGTCTAGACTCTCAGGTCTAGTGTCATTTGACCTTTTAGTAGAATGTATAAAATGATTCCCAACTATTTATTTTATGTATCAGTATTTGCTCTCTAAAGAAATAATTTTTTCCTCCAAAAAGACAAAGAACTATTTTCTTCCTTGTGAGATTTAAAAAAAAAAAAATCTCTTTATTAGTGCCTTAGGAAAACCAAGGCTCTGCAGTAACCTGTTCTGTTAGCTCCTTGTACTCATTTACATGCCTGAGCTCTCCAGACTTGTGCTCAATCAGGTTTCTTTACTCTAGTAAAGTTATTCCTATAGTTCTGTACTCTGTCATTTAGAGAGCTCCAGATGTATGTAAAAGTAATAGATTCCTGACCTGTAGTGCTTAGTGCTGACATAGCTGCTGAATTTTTTATTTCAGGTGGGATGCCTACAACTGATCAATGCTCTCATCACTCCAGCTGAAGAACTTGACTTCCGAATTCACATCCGAAGTGAACTGATGCGCTTGGGACTGCATCAAGTGTTGCAGGTAGTGTATAACGTTTTGTTAGCAGGAACTTTCCTTCCTGTTCTAACAGCCCCAATCATCCCTGAGATGATTCTAGTTTTCAGCTTAAACACCGGGTTGAGTGGGTTGTAAGATGGCTCTCGGGTTAAGAGCACTGACTGTTCTTGGAGAGGAGCCAGGTTCAGTTCCCAGCAGACACATACTGGCTAACAACAGTCCAAAACTCCAGTTCCAGGGGCTCCAAAGCCCTCTTCTAGACTCCATGGGCATTGCATATCACAGGTGCATTTACATTCATGCAGGCAAAACACTCATGCACATGAGCTAAAAAGAAAACAAAACACCAAGTTCAAAGATTGGATTTCTAGCCACACAGGACACTTTGCGGGTTCCCTTGACTGCTTTTGTCATTGACAGGAGCTTCGAGAGATTGACAATGATGATATGAGAGTGCAACTAACTGTATTTGATGAACAAGGGGATGAGGATATCTTTGATTTGAAAGGACGGCTGGATGACATTCGCATGGAGATGGAATATCCTTTTATGACTGATGACTGAGTTTAAGTCTGATGAGACATTCATTGCATTCATGGATATATGGAATGATGTAGAAAATGACAGCCTAGAATAGGGCATGGTACTTAAGTCTTTTTAATAACTAAGGCTGATGTCCTCTTATTTCCGTTGGCTTTATTTACTTCAGTATAGACCAGGAAAGTCAGTGAGGTGACGTGTACCTATCAACCCTGGTGATCAATAGTATGACAGATGTCACAGCCAGATTACCTTCACATCCAAAAGCAGCTGTCAGAGTCTCTGTACACGTCCTAGAACATAATTTACTGAGATGTAGAGTGGTTTTTAGAACCATTTGGACTGGCAAGGAGTAATATTACATATTTGGTTACCTGCCACAAGTGACATTGAGGTGGTTCTATTTTAGTTCTGTCTACTTCTGGATCTTGAGCTTCAAGCTAAGTCCTAGGAATCTTCTGTCTGTGTGGATACTACCACCCTTGACTAAAGGACATTTCTGGAGGAAGTGGACGTGGCATCTTGATTCTTTTCCTTAGTCCCTGTCAGAATTGAACAAGCCACCTACCAAACAGCTTCTAAGTGTTTGCTTTCCTTAGCCTGTTCTCCTTTCTACTGACTTTGGTGAAGTCTTCCAGATTCTTTTAAACACAGTGAAAGATTCAAAGGCAGAGCCACATTTCCTGTCCATCCTGCAACATCTGCTGTTGGTCCGAAATGACTATGAGGCTAGGTAAGCTGATGTGTTTGTGGAAAGTTTTGACTTTAAGCCTGGAAATTTTTGAATTTGAACGTAAGTGAAAAAAGCAACACCCTTAATTAAATTCAAAGATTGTTCTGCAAAGGTAAAAGAAGACAAAGACCATGGATTAAGCTCTTTAGTCATAGGTATAAGGGAAGTTGTCGACTACCCAGTAGACTTATTATCTGCTTTAATTCAACAGAATTCTTTAAAATTTTTTACAAAAATTATTTTATTTTCTGTGTGTGAGTATATTGCCTGCATGTATGTAAATGCACTCATGTCATGCAGTGCCCACGGAAGTCAGAAGAGGGTGTTCGATCCCCTGGTACTGGAGTTACAGATGATTGTTAGCTGCCATGTGGGAATCAAGCCCGGAACCTCTGCAAGAGCAGCCAGTGCTCTTAACCGCCGAGCCCAGAAATCTCTTCTTTTTTTCAATATTTTATTACTTTTATGTGTATGAGTGTATTGCCTGCCGTGTTGTACAATGCCACGGAGGTCAGAAGAGGGCTTTGGATTCCCCTGGAACTGGAGTTAAGGACAGTTTGTAGCCGCCATGTGGGTGCTGGGAATCGAACCTGGGTCCTCTGTAAGAACAGTCAGTGCTCTTAACCGCTGAGCCACCTCTCCAGCCCCCAGAGTTCTCTTCTTTAGAAGATGTCACTGTGTATAAAATAAACACTCCTTTAGTCCTTTATTTAGAATGGAGTAAGTGGGAAGGGAGTGCTAATAAAGGGAGGTAGTAATTTAAAATTCTTTATGGCTGCCTAGAGGTAGAGATTTCAACAGTTGTGTTGCCCATGACAGGAAAGATCATAAGAATTCACCCTGAATATTTAGGTGGGAAAGTACTGATACTAGGAGGCAGGTATTAAGAAAGTGTGTGTGTGTGTGTGTATGTACATGCATGTATGTGCACATGTGTGCTGGGGACTTTCCATATGTTGGGCACATGCGTTACTACTGACCTACACCCCGGCCCATAAGAACTCTTGATTATTTGCAGTGGGAAGAATGAAAGCTGATACAGGAGATTATTTCTTTGCACAGCAGTGATGCCTATTAACTTTATAAAAAGTTCTTTTCCAGAACACTTGTCCTTAATTCTCTTTGTTGTCAAAGCAGTTAACTTTTCTTGATCCTGAATACTTGTGGATGTTATATTTTGGTTTCCCTTTGATAAGTCCTTTATTTCTCTCATAGGCCACAGTACTATAAATTGATTGAAGAATGTATTTCTCAAATAGTTCTACACAGGAATGGTACTGATCCTGACTTCAAGTGCCGGCATCTCCAGATTGATATTGAGGGACTGATTGGTGAGCACACTTTCCTATCCAGTTCCTCAAAGGATTCAGTGCTTCTACTTTCATTTTGTATTTTTTCTCTCAGTGAAAATTTCAGAAAAGTCTTTCTAGTCCCTTTCTCAATATACCATCTTTACTCAGAATATATAGTCCTTTAGTTTATTTCTATATAAATCTGAAATCCTGCCCTTTCTCACACTGCTTTTTCGCAGGGACTTCAGGTATTATCTATGACCCATACTGGTCTCAGATTGATAGATGCCACTCACAGACATTCTTTGTGCCACCCAGTGATTGTTTTACCCTGCACTTAGAAATTACAGGTTGAGGGCCAGTGAGGTGCCTCAATGAGTAGAGGTGCTCACATGGAATGCCTAAGGACTTGAGTTTGGTCCTCAGGTGGCAAGAGTGAACCATCCCTGAGAGTTGTCTCTGGTCTTCACACATGGAGCATATACCTTTTTGTATTCACACACATATACAGTTGCAAACATGAAATAAATCAAAAAGAAAATCAACTGTACATTGAGCTCAACTGAAATTTTCATTTCTTAGTCTAATACAGGACATTAGGAAGAATAAAACCCATATCTGAAAGGACGGAATACTGCCCTTGGGTCTGTTGAAGGGTTTAGGAATGGAAGAGGAAGACCTGGAGTTGTTTTCAGATAAAATTATTGTTTTCTTTTCAGATCAAATGATTGATAAAACAAAAGTGGAAAAATCAGAGGCCAAAGCTACAGAACTGGAGAAAAAGGTATGTAGGAGGGGATCAGTGTTGAGAGTTCTTGCTTATCACGTGCAAAGCCTCCAGTATCATCAATACACACACACAAATTCGAGGTATATCTTTTTTAATCTGAAGATAATTATTTTTCTGACATGTGAGATCATACTGTCTGGTATTTAGAAAGCATTCAGTAATCCAGTAAATCTTAGTGGAAAACCTTTTTGGTGTAGCTTAGTCAGTGGAACATGTGACATGGATGAAATAACAAAGACAGATGATACTCTTTTTTTTTTTTTTTTTAAGTCTCTTTTTTTTTTAAAATTTTATTTTTTTTTTTTTTTTTTTTTACATGTCAGACAAGCTCTGCCACTGAATGATCCCTTCAGATCCAGATGTCATACCCAGTGTGAGACACTCACAAGAGGTAATGTATGACAATATCCCACTGTACAATGTTAAATTTTTTATTATCTTTATTATTTTATGTGTATGTGTGTATTGCCTGCATGTAGATAAGTGCACCTGTGTCATGCAATGCCCAAGTAGGTCAGAAGAGGCTGTCGGATCCCCTGGGACTGGAGTTAAGGACAGTCGTTAGCTGCCATGTGGGTTCTGGGATTCGAACCCAAGTCTTCTGCAAGAACAACCAGTGTTCTTAACTGCTGAGCCATCTCTCCAGCCCCAAGTGGTGCTCTTATATAAATGTACACCTCAGGACTCTTATTTTGAGCACAGTAGGAGCTGGAATGTGACTGAGTTTTTTTTTCCCTCAAAAGCGTAGCTTGGGATATGGGTCAATGAGCTCATAGAATAGGTACTGACACAAAATAATATATTAAAGAACTAACGCTTATGCTCCTATGGGATGGAAGGTGTCATAGTTAGCTTTTTGTTTTTATGATAAACACTGATCAGCTTGGGGAGGAAAGAGTTTTATTTCATCTTCTACTTTACAGTGCATCATTGAGGAAGCCAAGGAGGAATTCAAGGCAGGAGCTTGAAACAGAAATCATGGAGGAACACTGCTTACTGGCTTGTTCCCCCTAGCTTGCTCAGCTACCTTTTTAATACAGTCCACTCTACCAGCCTAGGGATGGCATCACCCACAGCCTAGGGCTACATCAATTAGCAATTAAGAAAATGCCTCACAGACATGACCACAGGTCAGTCTGATCTGGGAAGTTCATCAGTTGAAGTTCCCTCCAGGGGACTTTAGGTTTGTGTCAAGCTGACAGCTGAAGCTAACTAAAGCAGCCCTTGCTTTGATTCTGATTCTTCTTTAGCTGGACTCAGAGCTAACAGCCCGTCATGAGTTACAAGTAGAAATGAAAAAGATAGAAAATGACTTTGAGCAGAAGCTTCAGGATCTTCAAGGAGAAAAGGAGGCACTGAATTCTGAGAAGCAGCAGATTGCTACAGAAAAACAAGACCTAGAAGCTGAGGTGTCCAAGCTGACAGGAGAGGTAAGTAATGTGTGAGCAGGGAAGACAGGTGCCTCCAGCTGCCCTCCCTCCATAGCTCAGGCTATGTAGGTCTTGGAGTCAGTCATCTCGTTGCTAGGGAGGGACAGCTATGAACAAGAAGATGGAATGTATTTTAAAAACCATTTACTATTTTAGTCTTGTTTGGGAAATAAATAGTATATAGGACAAAATTTAGAAATGCAGGAAAAAAATGTAAAACATAAAACGAGTTACTTTTAGCACTATACAGAAATAATTAGGTTTCTGATAAATTTAGGAGTAAATCTAAGCTGTTTACTTATTTACCAGTTCTTGTGTGGATACCTTTATTCTCATTTTCTCTGCAGTTATACTTAGATGATCTGTGGGACCTGGTAAATTGATCATTTGTATGATTATATTATTACCTGCATAGCACATATTTTAATTTTAGTATTATAATTGAATATTATTGTTTACTTGGTCTTTACATTTTCTAATCAAAAGGAAAAGTTAGCATAGAAGTTGTCTTTTTAAATGCAAAACATCCTAAACTAAGAACATGAAGACCTAAGCACCAAGTAGCAATGTTGACTTTTAGATGTATTATGTGGTCTTCTGACTACTCTTAGTCCATCTATGTGTAAAGTGTGATGCTTGGATTTAGTATTTTCTTAGGTTCTCTCCTGCTTCCTGTAGTGGCTTCTTTCCAGGAGTCCCTGAAAGAGGGAGAAGTACTTACTTCTTTGTTGTTTCTTCAGGTTGCCAAGCTGTCAAAAGAGCTAGAAGATGCTAAGAAAGAAATGGCTTCTCTAGCCGCTGAGGCTGTTGCTCCTTCTGTTCCTAGTAGTGCTGCTGTTCCCCCTGCCCCTCCTGGACACTCTGGCACTGCTATTCCACCTCCACCTCCACCACCCCCACCCCCACCTCCTCTTCCTGGAGTTAGTACCACTTTCCCACCCCCTCCCCCTCCTTTGCCTGGAAGTGTTGGCCTTCCTATATCCTCTTCTTCACCTGCAGGCACTAGCATCCCTCCACCTCCTCCTTTGCCTGGGAGTGCCAATATCCCCCCACCCCCTCCTTTGCCCGGGGTTGCTAGCATCCTTCTTCCCCCTCCATTGCCTGAAGATACTGCTATTCCCCCACCTCCTCCTTTGCCTGGAGGTGCTAGTATCCCCCCAGCACCTCCTTTGCTTGGGAGTGCTTGCATCCCCCCACCGCCTCCCTTGCCTGGAGGATCAGGACTGCCTCCTCCTCCTCCCCCTCTTCCTGGTGGTTCTGGAATCCCTCCACCACCTCCATTTCCCGGAGGCCCTGGCATTCCCCCACCTCCACCTGGAATGGGTGTGCCTCCACCTCCCCCCTTTGGATTTGGAATTCCTGCAGCCCCAGTTCTGCCATTTGGATTAACCCCCAAAAAAGTTTATAAGCCAGAGGTGCAGCTGCGGAGACCAAACTGGTCTAAGGTAAGTTTTTATTTGTTTCATCAGTACATCTTAAGATCAAGAAATCACTATGGGGTGCTGGAGAGTTGGCTTAATGATTAAAAGCACTTGATGCTCTTGCAGAGGTCCTGGGTTCAGTTCCCAGCACCCATACAGTGGCTAATAGCCATCAGTAACTCCAATTTGAGGCTATCCAGCACCACCTTCTGACCTATGTGGGCACCAGGCACACATGTGGTGCACATGCATACATATAGGCAAAATACATAGGACACAAAAAATAAATTCTCTTTGAAAAGAGAAAGAAACCACTTTGGTTTCCTGCTTTGTATTTTGTGCAGGGCTACCCACCACCCTTAGGGCTCAGATTTGTCCATCTTCTAGTTCTACTTGTGTTTATGTTTATTTAACATCTCTTCTGTTTCAGATATTACCACAGAGTGGTCTATGAGCCCTGTGTGAACCTATCCTAACTTACTACTTTTTGCATTTTCTCTCATAATATAAGCAGCATGATAGTTTAACAGTTGCCATTTCACCAGGGTACGAATGACTGAAATTGTGCTGATCTACTCCTATGCCACAGCATGAGAGTTAGACCATGCTTGTGTGGCCATTATATATTTGTGACTCCTGTGATTATGAGTCAGTCTTTTGCTTCCTGAAACTAAGTTAAATGTAGCCAGATTGATGTGGGAAATGGAGAGCAAAGAATGATGGAAATAAAACCTTAATGTTTCTGAAACTAGAAAATTTAGGTTTAGAAGAACTAGTAGCATAACTGAATCTGGGTTTTGACTAATTACCAATAAAGAGATTGCCTGGAACCATCATCTCCTGATCCCCCATTAAGGATGCAGTGCTGTCTGTGTCTTAAGTTAATCATACTCTCCTAAAACTTTGCTGATAACTAGTGTAGTTACTTCTTTTGTATCTTAGTCACTTTACTAGGATAGAGAGTGCAGGACTCTGTTTAGTAACTTTTTTGAGACAGGGTCTTTCTGTAGTCCCAGCTAGCCTGGAACTTGCTTAGACCTGAGACATCCACCTGCCTCTGCCTCCTGAGTGCTGGGATTAAAGGTGTGTGCCCCCACACCCAGCTCAGTTTAGTAATTCTTACCACCCTGTCTTTATCCACAGTTTGTTGCTGAAGACCTTTCCCAGGACTGCTTCTGGACAAAGGTGAAGGAAGACCGCTTTGAGAACAGTGAACTTTTTGCCAAACTTACCCTTACCTTCTCTGCTCAGACCAAGAGTGAGTACCCTCCTTTTATAATTCCAGTGTCCAGGATGGACTTAGAATACCCCTTAACTGGGTTTCCCATTCTCTTCCCTTCACTGGGGAACGGTGGAAAAGGAGGGTGTTGGGTGGAAGAAGGATTGACCCCCCCCCCCCCCCCCCCCTCGAGAAAGGGGGTTTTTTTTTTGG